CCCGCAGCGCGTCGTAACCTCATCGCTCAAGTCTCGCATCCTCTTATACTCTTCGTTCAGTAACTCCAAACAATAATGCGAGACCCTCAGTGTTAGCTGCGAGAACGGAAAACCGGTGTAATGGTAACTCCGTTTGTTCCGACACTCCTCCAGCGTGGCCCTGATAATAGATTGCATGAAGATGAATTTATAATTAACTAGTATTCAGTAACTCCGTATGTTATATGTATGTGTTTGTAATATTTAAAATCAGAAGTTAGATAATAGCATATCAAATTTTATATATTTTATCATCAATAAAATGAACGATGTCAAAATTGGTTGGATAAAAGAGAATATTATTATTATAAGAATTGTGTTCGAAAATTTAATAAAAATTAAATAATTAATGTTTGTAAAAAATACTTGTTTAATGAGTTAAAACAAAAAAAAAAAATCACATAAATAGTTTGAAAAATATTTAAATTATAATACCTATTAATGTGATTTTAGATTGCTTATGAGTAATTATATAATAAAAATGCAAAAAAAAAAAAAATATATAAATATATAGATACATGAATAGCACAATAAATATGTATGTGTAGCTTAATAAATTAACGTACCTGATTTGAGTGTGTTGGGACTCAATCTCCTTGTGAGCCTTCTCCCACACTGTGTCAAGAGAACCGGTGGACGTGTTTAGCCACTGCTTCAACACATTGTGGGAACTCTACACCCTACACGACGTGGTGTTACCCAAATGCAGGAAGTGATTCGTCCACGCTTTGACAAATTTTTCCTTGTGGACTAACCACGTATCCTCTACGTACTGTCTAACTAGAGGGAACTTATTGTACCGAAGCTGCATGTCCTTCACGGCAGTGTCGTACTCGACCACCGTGCTCGCTTCAATGATCTTCTTCCACCGACCACGCGTGAACAACTCGGCGAATTGACTATTTTTGTGGGTGATTTTATAGACCCTCTGTTCCACATCCTTGTTGATGTGCCACGTGCAAAGAAGATGGGCAGACATCGGAAAATTAGTCATAATAGGATTCATCAACCCCATCTCCCTGTCAGTGACAATGACTGAAGGATGTACATCAGACCCAATCAGATCTCTCAACCGCTTCAGAACTCAGTCGTAGCTGTTCTGGCTCTCGTCCTTCACAATTGCATATGCAATCAAGAAATTCTTGTTGCACGGCGTCATCCCTATTATTTCCACAAGCGGCATCTTGTACCTGGGCAAATAAAGGCAACAAAATCAAACTAAGAATAAAAAAACGTACATACTCAGACAGTAATAATTAAGATTCGTACTAAATTGTTATTTATAAATTAACGTACCTGTTGGTTTTGTACGTCGAATCTATGCCGACGTACCAATAATATGTCTGAAAGAGAAGGGCTGACTGGGGATGCGACATGAACACACGTGTCAAGGTGTGTTTGTCCTTATCAGAATCGGCGAAAACTATGTAATTAGCCCAGCTAGCCAGATGCATAAGTTGGGAAGTCACATCTCTACCCTCGAAACTCTCTGATCGCATTCTAGACCTATAGTTGTAAACCTGTTGACGAACCGCGTTGTCAGTCGGGTATTTCTCGTGTATCGCTGCCAATATTATCGCCGGTCTTGCCTGGGCAGTTGTCATGTCACGGACGATCTGTCTCGCCTTTTCACTCAATCCGCTGAACTGTCGATGAACCTCGGGATACAAAACCATCGGATGATTATGGTATCCCTTTCGGTCATCCAGAGGAAAACATACACTCCAGGAATCATTCGTACCGGCCACTTTTTTCAATTTCATCTCAAACAGGCATCCGGTAAATTTTGTTTTCGACTTTCTGCGGACAACATTAACAAGATTGGATATTTTATTACCTCGATCACGTTCCCCTCGGTTACACTTCAGAATCCTCAATGTTCCTCCCTTTGAGTGCTTTGAAATAATTAGTTCAAAACCACAGATAGTTGTCATACCGACTGCATAGTTAATAGCTTTTTTAAGACTATCAAATATCTCACCTGTTCTGAAAAAAGGCCAATAATCAACATTATCTCCTCCAAAATCCTCAACTGGCGCCTGCAACATATTACCAAAACATAATCAATTATAAGTAATCATTAAAAAATAATAATTTATATTATATTATAACAACACATTTTAAAAATACTTATTACTTTTTAATAATAATATATATATGACTAAAAATATTATTATTAAAAATATTTTTAATATTTAATATTTTCGTATATTAATTATTTTTTATATATATTATTTTTAATATATATTTTAATAATTATATTTATATTAATTATATGTAATTAATATATAATAATTTTTCGTATATTATAATTATATATATTTTTAATGCTTTTAAATATATTATTATATTTTGAATATATCTTGAATATATATTTTTAAATATATAATTATATTTCATAATTATTATAATTATAAATATATATTATAAATATATAATTAAAAAAAATTATAATATATATAATCATATTTCGTATATTATTATAAATATATAATTATATATAATATATATTAAAAAAAATATTATAAATATTTTCGTGCACGCCGGCCGGCCGGCCCGCCAGACCGGCCGGTTCAGGTCTGGCCGGTTAACAAAACCGGCCGAAATTGGACCGGCCGGCCAGAGTCAACAAACCATGACCAAGGGCCGGCCGGCAACATTGGCCGGCTAGACCTGAGCCGGCCAGCATAAGAGGCCGGCCATGGATGAACCGGCCGGTCCGGCCGGCCGGCCGCCGAGAAAAAAAA